TTTGCTAGACTGTAAAGTTCTTGTTCTATTTATCATATGCTATCGGATGTGATGTTCTTGTCATTATCATTGTTATGAAAACCGTTAATCATGACTAACATTAGTGATGTGTATATATATATGTGTGTGTGTAATGCTTATAACAGTGGAAATGGTGGTGGAAGTAACAAGGCGAATGTTCACCGTAGTAATAATTATAACAATAATGATAATGATCATTAGAAATAATAATGATGAAAAGAATAATAGTGATAAGTAGCAAGTTAATGATGATAAGATGATATGTAATATTCTATTACTGATATATCAAATATCACTATTGTTATGGTCACGATAACCACTCTAATAATAATCAATATGATTAGAGTTAATTAATGTCTAAATCATCACTGTTTTTCGCGGCAGTAAATGCAACTTTAAAATATGAATACTACTACTATTACGATTATGAACATTCTAGGTATACCTATGACTATTTTGGAATTATGAGTGATGGTTTTGATATCAATGTTATCCTTTTTTGTCATCTATCATAAAAGTTACAATCACCACGACTGCTATAAACATTATCATAATCTAAGTATCTGTTTTACTTTTTCAGAAGGAAAATTTAATCCATGCAGTTATTTTCACCATCGCCAGCACCATAACCACCGTCACCATCACCTTTAAAACCATCACCATACCCCCATACCTTCTCCTTGTCATTACCACCATCTGCCTCATCACTATCATAGTCATTATCCTGCAGCGTGACCAATATCAGCACTACTGCCATAATCATCACTATCACCATAGTTTTTAATATAGAGTGTTCTACCCCTTCGCCACTCCCACCATCGTGTTTTCACCATCACTGCCATACTATCACCATCATACATAAGCATAACCCCTCTCATCACCATAAATTTCATCACTATCACCATAGTTCTTGATATATAGTGCCCTTTCTCCTTTCCACACTATCGTGCTTTCACCATCCTTCCTTAGTAGAACCACTATCGTCACCATAGCAGTCACTGGTATCACCACAGTCCCTAATATCCAGTGCCTCCCCTCCCCAGGAGTGTCCAGCGTGTCGCCTCCAGCAGGTTCTTCGGCAGGCGGCTCTCTGCTCACCATCCGCGGAGTAGGATTTCACCCTCACCGGAATGCCACCTCGGTTAGTATATTTACGTTTGCTGGTGGCATTTTTATCATCTTTTTATTTAGAATTATGCGTTATCACGGTGTATGTCGTGGTGCAGTGGCTATGAAGGTCGGTTAGCCAGCGCGTTCGAGCTCGAGTCCTGCCCGAGGGTCCGAGATTTAGGAAGGGCATCCGCTCGGGGTAGCGGTCTCCACCTGCGAGAACAGAGTCCTTTGAGAGATGAGATATCTCGTCTTTGCGAGGGAGTTTGTGAAATAATACTAGATCATACATTATTATTCACAAACGCGCAATCACGCACACGCACGCACGCGCACATTCATCTATACCTTACGTAAACCTATTCTATTCTGCAGGTGCGTGTCGGAGGAGCTGAGTGCAAGATTACCAACGTTTCTGCAACAACCGTCACTTGCATTGCTCCCCCGCGTTCGCTAACCACACCTGCGCCGGGTAAGTGTGTGAGGCAGCCAGAGAAGTGGCGAATTTACAGGAAAAAGGTGGGGCAAGGGATGTGGCTACCCCCCCCCCCCACCCACACACTTTAACTGCTAAAATTATATTATGAAATAGACATTGGCTCTATGGCCATAAGCTGCTTAGATAAACATTAGGTTAATGCAATTGTTGCTTTAGTAGTATGTATTATGATTCCCTGGTATTTATGTTTCAAGATTCATCTCAAAATATTTCCCCCAGTGCCCTTTGCTAAAATATCCCCTGTATTTTTTATCACACACACATTAATATATATATATATATATATATATATATATATATATATATATATATATATATATACTATATATATATATATATATATATATATATATATAATATATATATATATATATATATATATATATATATATATATATATATATACATCACACACACTCATGAATAAGTCAACAGCCACAATAAAGATTAAATGAAACCGTGACCGAAATGAATTCATTTCGGTAATTTTTCCGCCTAAAGAGGAACTCTTGGAGTGTTCGAAACGTCACGAATGAATTTAATTTCTTTTTGTGGCTGTTTTCCTGTTCATCTTTCTGTACACGTTACTGTGTTGGTGTTCCTATACACGCACATATATATCTTATTTGTGTGTATGCGTTTGCTACACACACACATGCAAGGCTTGTATTAGCCCTTCCATTCCCAATGTGAGCACCATGCCCTCGAGCCTAACCCCCGCCGGCGCTCCCCCAGGGGAACGCGGCCTCCTGCTCGAGCTCTGGGAAGGCCAATTCGCGCCGGACCTGCGCGACCGCCTCCGCCTGAGCGCCCTCACGCCGCACACGGACGGCTACTCCTCCTCCGTCGTCACTGACCTCGACTTCAAGATCGACGCCAAGATGACCTTCGTGGCCAAGTTGACGGGTGGGTTGAGTCACCGATTCCCTGTGGTCTTTGTAAGAGCGAATTGACAGGTGGTGTTAGGAGACAGACGATAGTGTTCAGGCCATGAATTCAGCTGGTTACTCGCCAACTCGACTGCAAGTGGTCTTTGTAAGAGCGAATTGACAGGTGGTTTTAGGAGACAGCCATGTTCAGCGAATTCAGCTGGTTACTCGCCAACATCGATTGCAATAACCATTCCGCAAGTAGAGGGGCTCGAATGATTGAAACTGAGGCTAATTTATGAGTAAGCAAACGTAAAATCGTACTCACTTCTACTCGTCTTACCTGCAGGGTACTTCCACGCTCCACATGACGGCTCGTTCACGTTGGCGGCTTACGTGCCCACTCGCTACGGCACATCCTGGCTCGCTTACGTGGCTGCGGACGGCGACCCTGACAAGGCGGTAAGTGGGCGGGAGGAAAAAAATCGAGTGTTCATAAAAATCAACTAGGTGTAATGTTTTCTTGTTCTATTTCGTTCTTCCCTTGCCTTAATCACCTTTTAAAATATATCTTAATGCATGTATGAAACGTCAAATGTTCTCTTCCAGATGCCACTACCCAAGTGGGGTAGCGTGGAACTGAAAGCAGACACGCCGGCTTACCTGGAGGTGGTGATAAGCGGCCGCAAAGCAGGTGGGTGGAGGTCCAGGGAATAGTCAACCGTTGTCCGTCAGTCTCTTTGCCTCCTTTTACCTCTCGACTTTCTTTTAATTTCTCTTTCATTTTCTTTTTTCTCTCTGCTTCCGTTTATATCTGTTTTCCTTTAATTTTTCTCTCATTTTCCTTTCTCATTCCATCACCCCTTTATCTCTGTTTTGCTTTAATTTCTCTCTTTTTCCTCTCTCTCTACCTACCTTTATCTCTGTTTTCCTCCAATTTCTCTCTCATTTTCTTTTCTCACTCTACCTCTTACTTCCAATATGTACCTTCCCCTCTCCCTCTATTGTTCCTTAATCAATTCTAAATAAAACCTATATTACCATTTTAACCAGCCCTCTCCTCCTCCCACCCTCTCCCCCAGGGGTCCGTCCCACGAGGGTGCTGATGGCGGACCACAACGGCAGGTTCAACAGCTGGCAGACGTCTATGGCCACGAACGAGCGGCAGAGCATCATCCTCGAGCCACGGGTGAAGCACGAGGTTCAGAGGGTGACCTTCAGTGGCCAGCCGGGTAGCGTCAGGCTCTTTTTCCATGGCGCGACCTCTGACCCCGTTGACCTCTCTGATGACGAGGAGGTGAGGAAGTTTTCTGCGTGTTAATTGCATATGTTTTGGGACCTATTAACATTGCAAAAGTAAATTCGTCATTTCTATATTTCAGTTTATGTATCCTTGGAAACCCACACACACACACGCACGGACGTCCACGATCATACTTACACGAATATACTTCTATTTGTGTATATTTCCTCACTCAGGTGCGGTCGGCAGTGCTATCTCTTGTGGGGCGGAAGTGCCAAGTCCAGAGCGAAGGGAAAACAAAAGAAATACACTTTGCGACAGGCTTCGAAGAGGGAGAACGATTGCCTTTGGGCATGACGGCCAAGGTGGTCAACATGCTCGATGCATTCTGCGGCAGGTGTGTATTTATGTATGAAGGAGAGAGAGAGGGAGAGGAGGGAGAGAGGGAGAGAGGGAGAGAGGGGAGAGGGAGAGAGGGAGAGAGGAGAGAGAAGGGAGAGAGGGAGAGAGGGAGAGAGGGAGAGAGGGAGAGAGAGAGAGAGAGAGAGAGAGAGAGAGAGAGAGAGAGAGAGAGAAGAGAGAGAGAGATAGAGAATA